TCGGCGTCATTTAATTTATATGGGAGTGCCTTGCGAGATCTATACTGATCATCGGAGTTTGCAGCACTTGCTCAAGCAAAAGGATCTTCAATATGCGGTCAGAGGAGGTGGTTAGAGTTTGCTGAAGGATTATGACATCACTATCCTATATCACCCGGGCAAGGCTAATGTGGTGGCGGATGCCTAGAATAAAAGATAGACACTTGGAACTAGTTCTTCTATCTTGTTCAAGTAGCTTCAGGATTACACGCTTGAATCACACATAAATTGCTTGCAAAATTGCCTTGCTATTTTGCTCTCAATTCACGTTTAACTTCTGCTTATGTGCATTACTTGTAAAAGAGAACAACACTGATATTTAATAGGTTAGTAATTAGAGAATGGCTGGGATACAGACGCTACTCTTCTATGGTAGAAGAGTTCTAGTTGATCTCATACTCTAACACTATCCTCTTTCAAAATTGAGTTCTCTTCATGTAAGGAGTCTTTCTCTCCTTATCCAATATGCAACCTTTTCGATCAGATCAGGAGATATTACTTCTGATAAGTTAGATTTATCTCCTTCACGTGCGTCTCACTTGTTTGGGTTGATCATGACTGTGCTTCACAAGAAGGACCTGGTCCATGTCTGAGTTCTTTTGTCAGTCTTCAAAACTACACGTTTACTTGGGCCAACAACTTTGATAGTGCTTTCTTCTCTTCTGTATTATTTACTCGTAAAATGATACAGTCGAATTTGTTACGTGGTTTATACACAAGCGAACCAAAATGATAAATAAATTAAATGAAAAGTGAGACTTAGCGTTGAAATCGAAAGAAATAGCAAGCCTGGTTCCTAGAGCAAGGCTTCCGAAGGCAGCGATAAGAGCAATACTAGACAAAAAATAATATTTAGCTTGATAGTAAAATGTAACATAAGGTTTGCCAGAGATTTCGTAGGGTACAATGGTTGTTCAAGTGCCTTTTTATAGCTATACCTAGGGAACAAGATCCTAGGGTCAAACCCCTCTTAAAGGACAATAACGGGGGTTATTGACGAATGTGTAACGGCAGGCCATGAATACCAAAATTCTCTGCAACGACGGTATTAAATAAATACAGAGGAGTATTCTTTATTAGATGCCATCCGATTACAAATATTCGTTTGCCTCCGTTGATTGCGTTCCCTTCGGGATCTACCTGATACCAACCAAAGATGCTGTTCTTGGTCTTGGCTCCCACTTGCTTCATCTTTCGTTCATCTCCGGTTCCACGTGTCATGTATCATTCGCGCATTCAATATAAACCATTTTTACCCTATACATGTATTCATGTCCAATGTAACCAGGAGCCTTTTGGTTTCTTCTTCTTCTTCTTCTTGATTGCAAGACACCACTATAGGTTGTGCTTAGGGTTTGCTCCTTCTTGGTTGTAAAATGGGTTTGTTAGATTTATTGTTGTTTTGACAATTTGATAATTGGGGTTTATTCCTTATGATATTTGAAAGTTACTTTTCGAATTTGAGCTCATTTAGAATAGATTTGGGCATTGAATGTGTGTTGGATTGTTGAAATTTGAAGAATGAATTTATGTTTCAGAACAGATTTATGTTTCAGAACTTAAGATTCGAAATCTGAAGTTGCATTAAAGAGATTGTACTACTTAAGATTTGAATTTCTGAAGTTGCATTCGAAAGATGGAAGAACCTAAGATTTGATTTCTGAAGTTGAATTGAAGAGACAGAACTACTTCAGATTCCGATGGGTAAATTTTGCAAACTTTTACATAATGCGAGTATAACTTCAACGATTGCCCCAAAAATGAATATATGTGCCCTTTTTTTAAATAGCAACATCTAGATGAGATGCACCAGCCCAAATTAAAGAAGTGTGTTCATCTTAACAAGATATACGAGACTTGGGCCTATTGCCATACTCATGAACCAGAGAAAATACTTGCGAAGTGGTCTGTGTCGAGTGCACTTAACATTGCACACCAAATAATTATAAAAGAAGTGAATATATGATGTTTGATAAAAAGCAATAGAAGAAAGAATGCTGCAGAAAAAAAGTAGAGAGAAGTAACTTTTATTCTCTTCTGGGAATAATATACAATTAATAATATCCCTCTATTTATAGGGGAAAACGACTTAGCCACAAAGTAACAATGCTTAATATTTCTTCAAAATGACTTAGCCATAAAATAACAATCTACCTACTATTTCTCCAAAATGATAACCGTTCACTCGAGATAGAATATAATTTATAATAGTATTTTATTAGTTATATATTTTTAAAGTGAAATGATGGTATTTGTTTTTAATTGAGATTAATAGGATTCATCCGTGCTTGTAAATTGTGACTCAGACTCATGGAATGTAGAGGTGTTACTATTTGAAGAGTCAAAAATGTTGTTTTTTGACCATGTTTTTCTTAAACGCTTTTTTAATATTTTAAATTATTAACTATTTTGATTTATAGTACTTCTATGTAGTTTTTAGACATGTATTTTTTTTTTTTTCAAAATTTTTGAAGGATCTATGTTCAAATTTACAGTCAAAATTAAATACTTTGGCTTTCGAACTCCAAACTATGTCAAATAATATGAAACGAAGGGAATATGTAGTACGTACTGTACGAACTTGAATGCAATTTTGGTCATAAAGCTGTGGGTTATCATGCTAATTTTCATTCCCAAAATCATGTTAATCGTTAGAGTTCTAATTATATCGAATAAAAGATGCTTTGTTGTATCAAAAGAATAGAGAGAAACCTGTTCGAAAACAATTTGCAATTGACACCTTAAATAATTTTGCCATTCCTTTTTCGGCTATTACTATGTCGTTAAGCGATTGATTATAGGTCAAAAAAGAAAGGTGAACTAATGAAAAATCAAGCAGAAATTATTTCCCAAACATTCATCTCAGAAGGTCTTGCGTGTCGAGTATCCCATAAAATGTGTGGATTTGACTCCCTCGAAATAAAAAAAATAAAAAAATGATGTTTAAAAATAGAAACGCTCTCTTTAATCCTACTTTTTTGGTCTTTACTATTGTTGGTCAACTCATCAATAAACTTAACGAGCTAGAAATATAGCAAAAGAAGCTTTGTATACGTACATAATGTATTTATATACACACACCGAATACAAATAAATTTTTACTCATACACGTATATATAGTATTTGCACCTTCTCCTCTGTTCATGTATTCCATGTAATATGGGCGAATTAGGGTCTCATTTGTAAACTCTATCCATCCGTTTGGATTTATTAAAAGTTCAATGTCACTTTGCATGACCACTGTTCTTGAGTAATTACCCCATGGTCGTCCTAGATATGTTGTAACAATTTTACCCATTTTCTCCAATTCTGGTGTTGCTTTTATTGTGCAATTTTGCAGCACAATTCCAGTTGCTTCACCCTCTTCTTCTCTTTTCTGTGCTGTGATTGTATTAAACTGTCCGAGAATTGGTGCACGCACTTCAATAATGGAGTTTTGGAACACTGCAGTTGCGTCTCCACATATGAAGTCTATGGTGCCCAATACTTGACAGTCCCTATAAAATTGTTTGCCAAATCTTGTGTACAGGGTATCCTGATACCCCTCGAAACGGCACCTATAGAAGCTAATGTATTCAGCTTCGGCCACTAATGCTGCGGCTTGATACTTCCATGGTCCAGCTTCATTTGTAAAAGTAATGTCTTGGGCTGTGAAGCCTTGCCCTTTGACACCTTAAAAATGAAAATAAAGCACAATGGTGAGTAATTATGGAATCTAAATAAGGTAATATATATATTAGTGAGTTAATAAAAACCGTAGATCGATCGACTTACTAACTGTTGCAGTGTATAATGTCCGAATGCCATCACCACCAAAGCTCTTATTCCCCGTTATTACTGTATTTTCTGTCCCTTCACCGATTAGAACTATATTGGTCTTCCATTTTTCAATTTGAACGTATTCATGGTAAGTTCCGTTTTTTACTTTTATGTAGTATGGCTCTACACTATGGTTTGGGAATGCAAAAATTGCAGCTGTTATAGTAGTACAATCTCCTGATCCATCCTGTGCAACTATTGCACGAGGTTGTTGGCTATCTCCAGTACCCGTTAAGACAGTTAACCAAACGGTTATAACAATCAGCCACGTCATAGCTTCAGATAATGTCTGTCTTAATTTGCTGCACTGCATGCATGTAGCCATTATGAGTCTGGTTAGTTACGTTACTAGTCAAAACCAATAGTATGATACATTTGAGCCTCAGTCTCGAGAGAGAGAGAGAGAGAGAGATAGAGAGAGAGATGCTTACAGCTATGCTACCAAATCGAACCAATACTGCGTCGTCAAAACCCCTTCTATGGAGGAGCAGTGAGAGAGACGGTTGTTCGAGCTTTCCTAGTGGAAGAGCAGAAATTGTGAAGAAGGTTCTAAAGATCCGAAAAGCCAAAGAAAAGTTGGCAGCCAAGAGATGAGCTGTTAATTTAGAGGAACTTTCTGATTTCAAGTCTTGGAAATTTTTTGACATTCAAGTGATGACAGTTCGTGCACTTAAATACTGTGAAGTGATTGGGAAATTTTTGTTTTTGTTCCATATATTATGAATCAAAAGGAATATCTTTACTGTCAAAAAAAAAAAAAATTAATAATAATACTAGTAGGATACGTTTCGTTATCTACGTTAATTGTAGGTATTCTACAAACTTACCGCCAACATTACTAAATTACTTCGATGTTTCAGATGAAGGAAGTGGATAATGAACTAGAATTAGACAACTTTATCCTCAAATGATCAAAAGAAAAGACAAATATGAAAACTGGTGTAGCTCACTACAACAAATATGATTATCAATGACGAATTATTTAGTCACTTAAAACTATATTTTTCACAATAAAAATTTTGTGACAAAAAGTAATTCGTCAATCTTTCTTCCCGAAAACACTGCTCACTAAAAGTATACAAAGATAATTTTGTGGTTCATCGCTAAATCAAGTTATATTAGGGACGAAATTTGTTTTCGTTCCCAAATGCCAAGTTTTTGTGTCGAACGTATCTATCTTGAAAAATGTAAAAAATCTGTAGTTAAAGATATCACGTCGTGGCTAAAAAGCCCTTTATACCGACGAATCTAATCTGTCACTAACTATACTTTTAATTAGTGACGACGCCAATTGTCTCTAAAGCTAAATATAATGTTTTGGTAGAACCAGTGTTTTAAACGGCGTGGAGCATAAGGTGAGATGTTTTATATATGCCTCAGTGAGGCGTAAGCCCCGAGGCACGAGGCGTAAAGCCCATAGTATTTAATTTTTAATATTTTATAAAATAATATGATTACAGTAAATATTTATAAACATGTAAAATTGCATAAAAAATAATATATATATATATATATATATACACACACACACACACACACACACTTCATCCCCACAAAAGACTAGTCAAATATGCTACTTAGAAGCTCAAGTAACTTGAGTCGAAAAGAATAAAATTTTCTACATGAAGGAACAAAAAGGATGATGACTAACCTGCTATTTGAACTTTGAACTTGCTGCTATGAAGGAGAATGGAGTTCTCTTTGTATTTATAAAAAAAAAATTGAATATTCGTTGCTTTTGGGAGATATTAGCATACTAGCGGACAAGATAAAGAATTGGGAAATACCATGAATTGAGGCTTCAATCAATAAAAATGTGTATGTTGACTTTTAAATTTAATACATTTCAGTTCCTTTTTAAAACTTTTGAGTAATTTCCAAACTGATTTTTGAGAATTTGGGTATTATATGAAGGACTTATTCAACAAATTTTGTTTTAATTTGAAAAAAAATTGGGACTTACGCCTCACTAAAAAATGCGCCCGGAACGCCTGGTCGTACGGGATAACAGTTAAGAGCCAACAATTAGATAACAACAGAATTTAATAAGCGGAAGACTGCATTGTAAACGTTTTTATAATACTGCTAATACTAATCCATAACAAATCTACCCAAGACCGGTGTCACAACTTACACAGACTGTCTAGGAGTACTACAATAAAGGCATGAAAGAAATAAATACAACACTGTCTGTGGAAACACATGAAAGAAACAGGAATAGTAGATAGAAGGAGACGCCAAGGCCTGCGGACGCCTGCAGGACTACCTTTGGTCGCCTGATGAACAAGAAGCAGCAATCTCACTGCGGTCCGAAATCTACAGCACTGGGATCTGCACAAAAGAGTGCAGAGTGTAGTATCAGCACAACC